CTCCCAAAGTGCTGGGATTACAGGCATAAGCTACCATGCCCGTCAATATATTCATTAATTTTCTAATATTAAATCAACTTAGCATTCCTGAGATAGAAGAGGGCATGTTGGCATGCATTCCATTTGCTAAGGTTTTGTTTAGGGCTTTCTTGTGTCTCTTAAGGGCTGAGGTCTGACCTATCATTTTCCTATTTGGTATTATCCTTGTCAGCCTTTGGTAAAAGTTTTACTAGCCTCTTCAAATGAATTGGGGCGTGCTCCTTATTTTCCTTTTCTCTGGAAGAGGGCATATCATAACGAACCCATTTGGTTCCTAAATGTTTAGTACAGTGTGCTAAAACTGGCTGGGCCTGTTGCTTTCTTTGTGCAGCAATTAACAAAAAAACGATTGATGTTTAATTCTTTGAATAGTTACAGGATAATGTAGTCTTTATTTCTTTTTTGGGTCAGTTTTGATTGGTTGATTTTTTTCTGGGATTTTTGGCCTTTTCGTCTAAATTTTTAAATGTGCTGTCTTAAAGTTGTTCACAGCATCCTCTTATTATCTTTTAAATCTTTGTAACATGGGCAGGCATGGTCCCCTTTCCATTCTTTGTTTTTATTTTTGAGACAGGGTCTCTCTGTTGCCCAGGCTGGAGTGCAGTGGTGTGGTCTCAGCCCCCTGCAGCCTTGACCCCCTGGGCTCAAGCCGTCCTCCTCACTCCCCCCAAGTAGCTGGAACTGCAGGTGCGTACCACCATGCCCAACCAATTCTTGTATTTTCTTTAGAGACGAGGTTTTGCCGTGTTGCCCAGGCTGGTCTCAAACTCCTGAGCTCAGGCCATCCGCCCACCTCTGCCTCCCAGAGTGCTGGGATTACAGGATATGAGCCAATGCACCCAATATCTAATATCCAATTTTGCTTGATTTCTGCTTCCCTTCCTTAAGAAGTTTGTGCTGTTTGTGGTTGAAATAAAATCGGAATGTGAGTGAATTTGGAAGTGAATCGCTAGACACAACCACTGCAGTCCTCAGGCCTAAAGACAATGGACTGTTGAGGAAGACTAAGTGGTGCTGGCTTTTCTTATTATAGAGGTAAGCTTAAGTTGTAGAAAGTACAGATAATAAACAGGAAAGATACAATTACCTATAATCCACTACTTAACAGTAACCACTAGAGTGTGTGTGAGTACGTATTTGTGGAGTTTTCTTCTTTATAGAAGTAAGACTGTATTATACATGCTGTGTTGGCACATTTTTCTACCCAAACAAGGAATCATGAGCAACTTTTTGGGTCAATAGTTGTGACGGAGCAAAGATTTTAAGACGCTGCATGTCTGGCTTAGCATTTTGGGAACTTCTTGTCTGCGCATGGCTAATCTGTTCACAGGTACTCGTCTTTCCCATTTAGACATAACTCAGGCAAATGTTTTGGTTCTCTCTAGGAAACAGGCTACATTTAAATCACGTGAATCATGTCTTTGGGTTATTTTATGATTGAGTGGAAAGAGGAAAATCATGTTTTTGGCACGAGGGCGGTAAGGCAGTAACCTGCCTCTTATTTCCCAGGTAGCTCTCTGATAACATCTTGTGACTTAGAGCCTGTGCCTATCAGCCAGGCTTGTTTTCTCAAAGTTTTCAGCCAGGTAGGAAATGAAGAGGAAGAAGAATACAGCCAGGATGGGAGACAAGACCTCAAGTGCTTACGGCGAGAGTTTGGGGAGGGAGGGAGGGAGTTCTACAGAAATGAGTCCCTAACTCTGTACTTAAAAAGGCTAATTAGAAGGGAGAAATGATAGCTAACCAGGGTACCGGGGAGCCCTGGGATTTTGAAACAGTTCTATCTTTCAGGAGGTGTTTGGGTTTCGGCTGCGTGTGTTTTGAGCTTGGTTGGCCTAGTGTGCAGTTGTGCAGATGCTCTGGGCCTCAGTGCATTCCCGGTATTACAGGAGGCTTTTGTTACACCCTCTAGGTGTCCCCCAGGATGAGACAGATGTGCGCTCTTCCTCCCGTGTGTGTGGCAGGCGGCCCAGCAGCTGTGACAGGCGCAGCCCAAAGGCACACTGCTGGGATAACGTGCTGCTCCTGCCAGTCCTGCCTCCCAGCCAAGAGGGAGGTCCCTGTCGCCACTTCCTATGTGTGGAAAAGATGCGGCCCCGTGGGGGTGTGGACGTGCATTCTAGAAGTCCCTGCCTCCCACCCTGTTGTGCATAGACTTCCTTTGGGAGTGTAATTAGAAACCCACGAGATTTCCGCTGTAATGCTGAGGGCTTTGGCTGGTGTCTTGTCTTGGAAACAAAGGGCATTTTTGTGCAGTTTGCAGCATGAGGCCTCTGCAGGGTAGGCAGGGAGTAGGGGAAGACAGACATGGCCTGCCACCCGGGAGCTCTGAGTCCCCGTGGATGCCCTCATGACAGTTGCTAAGCACACTCAAAGCAGTGACTTCTTGCAGCTGCTTCTACTTACTGAGGACGCCTGCATGGCTGGGCACCCTGTGCTTCCTCGGTTGAGAGGGTGAGAGGCTGAACTGTTAGGAGCCATCGGTAAATGGATGGCTGCTTGGGCGGTGGGTGTGGAAAGCCTGGGCATCATGAGCTTCTGAGGCCTGGAAGGAGCCAGAGACGAGCCAGTGACTTGCAGGCTAACTGTCCCGGAAACAGCATTGGAAGCCAGCCCCAGAAGAGTCTGAATAAACTGTCAGTCCTCTTCCTTGCAGAGTGCAGAGCGTATGTGATAAAAACGGGCATCACACAGAGCATTTTTGTTTGGAAAGCGATATTGGCAGCCTGTGGTCAGTTTTCAGTTAAGGTGTTGTGCGGAAAGCCAGGGCACTTTAACAATTCCTGAGTCTATGTCTGTGAGGATGGAGCCTTTGCGAACAGGAATCCGAACCAAACAAAAAGGAAAGAGAAAGAAAGGAAGGAAGGACGGATGGACGGACAGAACAAATAATCCTAAGGGGTCTGTGTGGGGAGCTGGGGGAGGGGTCCTTAGTTGGGAGCTGAGGGGAGGGAGGGGGTTTGCTGGAAGAGTGGAGTATGCCTTCCAGACAGCATGCTCAAAGGTCCTGTGGCGCTCTTTGGGGGAAATAGGGGAGGGACAGCGGGGGGTGGGGAGTTGGGGAGAGATAGCATGGGGAGAAATGCCAGATATAGGTGAAGGGGAGGAAGGCAGCAAATCACACTGCCATGTGTGTACCTATGCAACAATCTTGCATGTTCTTCACATGTACCCCAAAACCTAAAATGCAATAAAAATAAATAAAAATGAATAAAAAAAAATGTCCTGTGGCTGGGGAGTGTGGCCTTTTCAAGGGCTGAAAGGTGAGGGATGGAGATGTTAGGGCAGGGGCAGGGCTCTGCCAGAAGGAGCTGACTCTTGTCCTTCACTTTCTTTTAGGTAAAACCTGTTTCCCAGCCTGTTGGCATCCTGTGGAAAGTTGGTCAGCGGCAGCCTGGGGTGTGAAGGACCTGGAAGCCCTCTGGCACATCAGAGGCGTTGAAACCAAAACAAACCTTATGTATAAAACCCCGGCTCCATCGGCTCCGTCATGGGTGTTGGTCGTCTGCCCAGAGTGTCACCAGCAAGCTCGCTTCCATGTTACCACAGCAGAGTTGCTTCTGCCACCCTTTGGGCGCCCCTTTAAAGTGTCCCCTACTTCTACTCCCCGCTAGAGAGGCTTTGTGCCTTGCTAAGGAGCAAAGGGTAGAAACATGTTGATTTTGAAAAAGTTTTTTTTTTTTTTTTTTTTAAAAACAATTGTTGACAATAGTAAAAGAGATCAAGAGGATGAAGAATCTAAACAAACAAAAAGGATGCCCACTGTGTATTTAGAATTTCTGACATTCTTCTCTGCAGTGTCTGCACATTGGACCCCATCTGACTCTTCGCTGTCTTTTTGGCTGGGTCAGGTCCTCATTTTGGCATTATTTTGGCCTCATTTTGGCATTACCTGTGTCAGAGTTTAAGGTGGACGTGCTTAGAGCTGGTCAGCCCCTTCCAGTCCTGGACATCTGTGGCTCCTTTTCTTTCTTTTTCCTTTCTTTCTTTTTTTTTTAAAGGGTTCAGCAGAAATCAGTATGGCTAGCTCACAAAGAATTTCCAGTATCAGGGAAAACTGTGTGTGTACGTGTGCACGTGCACGTGATGCCTATAAAAGCTTATCCTCTGAAGAGAAAGTGCTAGGCAGCTTCTGGTTAGTAACATTCTTTGTGCTTTTTTGTTGTTTCTCTGCTCTGTCACTGTTCCGTGTTGTTTGCCTTAGAAACGTAATTTTAAAAAACCACGGTGGTAATTTAAATGAATGGTGGTTCAGCTGGCTGGAAAAAAACATATGTTAGGGAACTATATTTGAAGTCAGTCTAGACCGGGCTGGACTAGAAACCCACCCGGACTCAGGAGGCCCCACAGGACCCAGGAGGCACCGCAGGAACCCGGGAAGGCAGAGGTTCAGGCGAAATGGCTCCCTCCGAGCTGGTGAAGTGAGGACTCGCCTGTGACATTACCCGGAGATCTGTGCTGGCTTCTGCAGAAAGGGCCTTGGGCTGATGTCTCAGGTTGATGGAGCCTCGGGCTAGCGGTGTTCCCAGGCTAGCGGTGACTGGCTGTAACAAAGATGCTTCTTTTCAAGTCTATTAGCTGTGCCTTCTGGACCCTGGGATCTTGCTCTCTCTAGAAAGGTGTTTTTTATTTTTAAATGTTTTATCTCCCGCACCTTTTTTCCTGGCATTGCTCCAGGGTTTATGGTGTTTGCCTGTTGATGGTCCTGCTCTCTTTTTTTTGGATGAGAAGTCCAGCCTTTCCCGACGCACCTCCGTCTTCAGGTTTCTCAGTTTTCCGAGACGGGTGGGGATCTGTGGGAAGGGGCATGGGAGCTCCGCGGCCCCCACCTGCTGGGAAGGGAGACTGGCCTCCGCAGGAAAGCGCAGAGCCCATGGGAAGCCCCAGGTGAGGATGGCGCTGCCGGCTCACCGCACACAGCACTGCCAGCTGCGGGGGCCTGCGTGTAGCCTCTGCTCCCTTCATTTCACCTTCTTTGTAGACTTTTCTTCCCCGTTTTTGCCCGTCTGTTTGCCAGAGGGGTGCGACTGGCAGCAGAAGAGCCGTGCCTGCTTTATCTCTCCTCTCCGCGGTGTACTCAGGCCCGGGTGGTGACTCACTCAAGGCACCTCGCAGCTGTTCACCCCTCACCCTTTGAACTGGAACTGCTGGCTCACTCGGGGTTTTCCACAACTGCAGCCGAATCCCACGGACAAGCTGGACTCCTCGGCCTGATGCGGAACGCTGGGCTGCGGCTGCCAGGTGCTCGCTGCTGGTCCTGGCAGAAGTGGTGGCTGCTGAGAGTGACCTTGCAAATCCTTGCTGGAGCCTCCGTGCTCCAGGCTCTCCAATAAAAACCCTTTAGACACCAACCATGTGTACTTCGGGCTTGGATGTTTTCTGTGGTGCAGGCCAGCGAGGCCGCCTTTTGTGAAGAGGGACGTGGGCCCAAGGCTGAGGAGGAGGGTGGGGGTAGGAGCTGGGTGGGAGGTGTCTGGATCCTGGTGATTTAGAGAAAGGCTTTGGGGAGGAGGGGCATGCATGCTGCTTTTACATCTACATACACAATTTACATTTACGAATACGATTTCAGGCTCACTGGCTCATTTGCTGGAAGCTTGCTCCTTGGCTAGGACATACTGAGCCCTGATTGTTTCCGGAGCATCTTGGGGCATCTCCAGAGAAGATAGAATCGATCACATAAAAAGCTGCCGGCCTATTACTGCCTCATACCTGGCTTGCTTCGTGTTTTCTGTGGGTGAGCTGGGGATGCCTCTGGGCCAGGGTTCACAGCAAGGTGAGCAAAAGCCACAGGAAAAGCCCATTCACTGTCGTTCCAACTGGTGCCCATGGATGTCACCAAGAAGCTGGGGTGTGGTCTGTGTCCCTCCTCCGTGAGGAACTACTCCTGTGCCTGGTCTTCTCTACCACCATTGCAGTGACTGGGGTTCTCCAGGGTAGCTCTTTCTCCAAACAGCTGCATGGGAAGCCAGCCCTGGAGAGTGGGTTTCTCCATCCTCTCAGTCGTCTCAGAGGGTGTCTTCCACTGGGCACCCATCCTGTAAGCTTGGCTTGTTCAGACGCCCGGGGACAAGCCAGCCTGACAGGGAGGAGTGTGTTCTAGCGTCTGCAGCGGTCTCTGCATGGCGGAGGGTCAGCTGGTGCTGCCACTTGCCTTTTGGTTTTGAAGATTCTGTTGAGGCTCCATCCCCACCTTGCCCTCTTCTACAAAATCTGTCTCCCCTGCAGTGCTGTGGAACACCTTGGGAAGCCAGTCAGAGTCATAACATCGAAGCCCCTCCCTCTACTGCCTGCATCTCTTGAGTTGTATGGTTATTCTTACACCATGTGGGATGGGGGATGCTTTATGAGGACATGGCACGTTATCCTCAAAGGGCTCTTGATGCAGTCATAAGTTTGTGTTCCATGCTCGCCCCCTTTGGTGAGATTCTTGGGTGTTGGAATCATTTTAAGGGAATCAGGGGGAATTACCCAGAAGAACAGGGTCGGCAGGATAAGAGGGATGGGGGTGCATCAGTGACCCAAACCTGCTGGTAAGATTTGGCAGCTGAAGCCATTTAAAGAGACTGGCAGCCAGGCACGGTGGCTCCTGCCTGTAACCCCGGCACTTTGGGAGGCTGAGATGGGTGGATCACCTGAGTCAGGAGTTTGAAACCAGCCTGGCCAACATGGTGAAATGCTGCCTCTACTAAAAATACAAAAATTAGCCAAGCCTGGTGGTGGGCACCTGTAATCCCAGCTACTCAGGAGGCTGAGGCAGGAGAATCACCTGAATCCAGGAGATGGAGGTTGCGGTGAGCTGAGATTGTGCCTTTGCACTCTACCCTGGGCAAGGAGAGAAACTCCATCTCAAAAAAGAAGAAAAGAGAGTTTGGCATCTTGGTGTTGCCAGTTTCTGAAGAGGGAAGGGGAGAAAAGGGTTATGTTACAAGCATCACCACCGGAAAAGTCGCAGAGGGCTGCGACTCAGCAGAGGGGAGAGCCGTAGGAAGGTCGTCAGGGATGAGGTCGGGCTGCCTCCCTGGCCACTCACCTTCCCTGCACACGCTTTTGTAGCAGCGTCATGAGTTCACAGGTCCAGGTGTTGCTTGCATCGTAACCACAGCGCCCTGTGCCTGCCGGTGCCTCCTGTATTTGGGTTAGATCTTTTCTTATGCAAATAAATGATTTAATCTTTTCAGGGCGAGGGAGGAGCTCCAGGGACCTGGAAGATGTCGACTCCAGCACCTTTAGTGCACGGAAAAGAGTCTGCCTCATAAGGCCCCCAGGCGGCTCCTGTTGACAGGTGCGAGCCGGCGCTTCCTCCAGTCTGGCAGAGTCACAGTTTCTTGTGGTTTTCACTTATCAGAGAATTCCAGAACACCTGATGGGGACTCAGTGTACACAGCATACCACTTATGAAAACAGAGTTTGTTTTCCATTATTTTCGAGAACCAAATAGACATGGCTATTCTGGGTGGCTGTCACAGGCCTCTCCCTGCCTTGCTACCTGAATCTTCTTGGGTCTACCAAGTACCTGGGTGTGACTGTCATTGCAAACTGCCTCAAAATTTGCTGGTATTTCTTGTTATGCTGAGTTAGTTTATCAGCAAGCTCATTTTCCCCGGGATGGGTTTTTTTGAGGAGCCAAGTTGAGGTGCATGGGAACACAGCAGGCTCTTGTGTGTCTGTTGGCAAGGCGGATGGCCCGCAGTATCTAGTGTAAATGTCTCAGCCGCCGATCTGGCCTGGGGTGCTGTGAACAGGCCTCCTGTGGTGATCAGGTAAGAGTGTTGTGAATGAATTATCCCCAGAGCCTGCAAGACAACCAGCCAGGTGGTGCTGTGTGTGGTGGGAAGAGGAGTCGGATGCAGACAGATAGGCACCCGTTTCCCGGCCTCACTGCTGACTCCGAAGCATGTGATCTTGGCCCCACTTTACCCTTCTGTGCTACAGAAACACACCTCTTTGGTTATCGTGATCATTAAAATAGGCAGTTTAGCCAAATACCTGCTGCAGGTGCCTGGCACCACCAGTACCACCGGGAACGGTCACCACCACCAGCACCACCTCCACCACTAATAGTTTTTGAGTTCTTCCTGGGTGTGTTCCTGGGTCGTGGGATGGGACGGGGCTCAGTCCCCTATCCCAATAAGATGTGCCCGAGGTTATTGGCCTCTCTTTGCCCCAGGAACGGGGAAGAGGGCCCTGGCAGTGCGGTGAGCTTACTGTTCATATAAATATCGGACCAAAGAGTTTTGCAAAGAAGCGATTTATTAGGCAGAGAGAGAAAAAAAAGGAGAGAGAGAGAGAGAGAGAGAGAGACTGAGAGCTCCCACGCTGCTGTGAGAGGGGGATCTGGATGGGATATCCGCTTAGGTAGAGAGGGAGAGATGGCTCCCATGTTGGTGTGGGAGGGGATCCCAGAGAGGGAAATCCACGCTGGTAAGGTGCAGCGGAGTTTCAACTTTGAAGTTATTTCCGCCCCATTCATGTTCTTGTCCAATGAGAGGTCTTTCAAACTACCTCTGGAGTGATTGATCTTTGACTCTGATACTGGATTGGCTGTCCGGCCTAGAACAGAGGCCCTTCCTCCCAGAGCTTTTCGAGGTCTTTTAAAACAAAGGAGCACACCTGAAATTTTACCTAGCTCGTGCGGAGGCAAGTTAGACAAAGAACTCTAGGTTCCCAGATGGGAAGGTGGATGGAGGCATGGCGCTGGGAAGTTCTTGCCTTTGAAGTCACACCCCTTGTGGACCCAGGAAGAGAAATGAATATAGTCCCTCAGGTGCCAGGTGTCTTTGCACACACACTTCCTTATTCAGTCCTGAAGGGCATCCTTTAGACAGGTGTTATTCCTTGAAGACACTGATCATTTCCATAAGCCCAGGCCTGTTTCTGCGGAATCATATTCGCCTCCCTGACTCTCCGTAAGAAAGGAAATATCTTCTATTTGCCCAGCGCTTTATCATCCTTTGAGTCCTGCCAACAAGGTGATGAGGTAGGTGATTGTCTTCATTTTGTACACACAGGGATGGGTCTAGGAAGTTCATTCACGGCACAGGGTCACATGGTTTATAAGGGGCAGGTCTTGGACCACCAGTCTCCTGCCTTCTTCAGCACTTTTCCCTGAAGGGAAGAGGAGGGGACTTTGCTTTTGAGACCAAAACTGCTCACACTTGGGGTAGCACAAGATGTCGGTTTTGCACCAAAGAGACAACGTTATATGTTTCATGGGGTACCCACTCTGGCTGTGGCTCCCCAGTGGGGAAAGAGGTCTGCAGATCCTCCCTTTTCTGTAATTCTCTGCCCAGATGCCCCTTTGCTAGCCACCAGAGCCTGCACTGGGTTCATCTTCCCGAGGGCCCCTTGTTTGCCGCATGCCTTGGCTGAGACACGGACATGGACGGAGCTCAAGCATGCAGCCCAAGGTGTCCACACTCATGTGACCAGATGGGGATGGCAAGAGAAGGGGAATGGGCTGCAGGCCAGGGACCTCTGCTGATGTCCTGACCTGAGCCCAGCAGATGTTAGGAGCAGGTCAGCCAACCAGGAACCTGGCTTGGGCTGTGTGTTCAATTTCCATTTTTAGTTGTGCCCTCATCACCAAAGAGCCCACTCCCAGTGCCTGTGATGTTATGATGAACCATCAGCCAAATTGGAGTCTAGTTCTGGGGGATTTTCTATGTCTCCTCTTTTTTCTTTTCAAGATATAGAGATGTGCTTTGAGGTCACCACTGTTCCAAGGTCACATTGTTTTTCTTGGTGATGGCTCTGTTCCTATGCTGTAAGGTTGTGAGACCGTTTCTTGGTTCGGCCAGCCTTGACATCAGCTCTTACGACGTGCTGCTCTCATTTTCCCTCTTAATTCCCTCAAGGTCTTGGTAAACATCAGTGTACTTTTCTCTCTTGCCTTCAATTGGAATCAACATCCATGGAAAATAATTATTGGAAAGATTTTGGAATACAAAGCAAAGAACAGCGGATTTGTGTAAGCACCACGTAAAGTGACTAATGAGATGGAATAAATAACCTCTGTTTCATTTGAAGTCTACTCCAGGGCAGTCTGTACTGCCTGGCAAATCAATCTCTTTCTGTCCACTGTTCGTTCACACACTGGTGGAGTGGCAGTGTCCCTTTGCTGAGGTGCTGAAATGTCAAGCTTCCCCAGGAGGCGGTGGGAGGGTTGAATGAGATAAGGCACACACAGTGGGTGCTTGATGAATGGGTGTCATCTTATTATACATCCAGCAGGTTTTCCGAGAGCCACAGGGCGTGATGCTGGGGCCTGCTAGACTGCAAAGGTGGATGAGGCACACTCCCGACTCATGAGACTGCAGGTGTAGGAGGGAGATGAGGTTTGCACACAGAG